TCTAATTGGTGAAAAAAAAAATTTTTGTAGAACTGTCTTTCAAATATTAGGTAGGATCAAAATTGATCTTCGAACTCGGTATGCTGGAGGCAGCAGGTTGTTTGTTTCAACGAAAATTAATATCCGTGTAGCTTTGAGAATTTAGTAGGTATGCACCGATCAGTTCGCTATAGTTAGTTCTGCGGAAACTAATCTGCTGTTGTTGGGTCAGATCACCTCACGCAGTGACTGTCTGCTGTCAACAGGAAGGGCTGCATTCAAACTTTGACGAATACGTGAAACTACCAGAGTAGACTAGGGGTTTTACGAAGAAACCCTTGGCAGTAAATCCGGGAAGGGAGTTAAGCTACTAAAGCTAGATATAGTGGAGAGACACATCTTGAATAACGTTGTAAACGTCAGAAAATTACTGCACTGATGGGAATAGTCACCCTTTCAATGGAACATCCCCAGTGAGTCTCATGATTGTCAAGTGGCTTAATTAACGCTGTAATAAGAGTTCTACATTCTTCCATGTCCATGTTTGATACGTTACGTTAGATTTCTGCGTTTAGAAGTACATATAAACTTACGGTCTCAAACTTTAGAAAAGTGTCTCAATTTATGGTCTATGTATAAAAATACTTTAAATTCAGATATAATTAATACTAGTATTTATTTCCAGGGGAAGATCTTACATTATAGAAGAGTAATTGTATTGAAATGAAAAATTTACTAATAATCCGTTATTTAGTACACAATTTTTAATAAGCAGCCTTTTATGCTCAAAGTGACGCATGTTGGTTGCGAGATTTCCCAGTGATATTTCTCTGAATTTCCGGAGTCACTTCCCGCCTTTAATTGAGTTTGAAAAAAATTTTGAAAGACCTGCCTAAAATTCAAAAATTTAAAATTTGGTCTTGGCTGTGATCGTCTAACAAAATGGAAACCTATTGTTTGTGTGTGTGTGTGTGTGTTTTTTTTTTTTTGACATGGCGGGAAGACGTTCTGTCATACAAGTGAGCATATATTGTGTGTGAGTCGAGAGGGCAAGAAATAATAGACAAAATTGTTTTGAAGGGACTAAAATGGCACCCCTCTCAGGAGGAAAGAAGTTGCGAGGATTCACTCCTCAGCCTCAAAAACCCCCTATCGTATATTCACGGACATATTACATTTCAAATGAAACACCTTAAAAATATGAAAGAAAAGACACTCGCGAATGACAGACATACACATATGAAAAACGAACAAACACAAGATCGTATACATCTATTTGGAATCAATGCAAATATTTGAACATCACAGATTTAATAAAAACAAAGCAAAATCTGCATTAAAGTAACTGGATGCAAATACACAAGTCATTACGGACGTGTGGCGTCAAATTTGAAAGTTACGGCAGTCAACAGGAGCACAACAAAGTGCCCCTGGGGCGTTCTAGCACAAGCGGAGTTTGGGGCTACCGGTCGGGGCTGTTCTCCCCCCACGACGGTGATTCTATCTATCGCAAAGCCAACCTGCACGCACATCTCCATGACGAACATGCTGTGCGAAACTAGGCCGTTGGACATCAAATAATTTATAGGTACGGTGGAAACATTCATCAACAGAATATTTAAAAAACAAAACTAGTAACGATTTATGAAAAACAAAAGATCTGGTGTGAAACAGACTTGTCCAAATGAAGACATTATGTGAGGTTAAAACTGTAGAGCATGAAATTTACGTTCAACAAAAATTATACAACAAAGGAAAATGACTGAGTTTAAAACTGTGAGATTAGAGAAATATTATATCAGGTGAAAATTTGCAAAGTTAACAAAATTTACATGAGATTAATATTTGCCACACTTTATCAACGATTCAAACAAAGAGTTTACATTATGTTAAGTTATGTCATAATCCAAGTGATTGATAACTTAAAAAAAAAACAATTTACTGTGAGAGTTTAAAATACCGTGAAGTGGTTACCCCAACAAAACAAATAATAAATTAGCACAAAAATATTCAGTCATCGTTGCGAGGAAAAAGCTTGTTATTTTAGCGTTGCGAGGAATAAGCCTCGTTGATGTTATCAATCTCTAGCGTTGCGAGGACATGCCTCGATGAAGTAATCAATCTGTAGCGTTGTGAGAACATGCCCCGATGAAGTAATCAATCTGTAGCGTTGCGAGGACAAGCCTCGATGATGTAATCAATCCTTAACGTGGTGAGGATATGCCCCAGTGATGTGATCATGATAACGATGCTAACCGCCTAAGGGAAGAAATTATTTTAACCCCCCGCCAGTTCGCAGTATAATGAATTTTGTTTAACTGCCGTAAATGAAGTATTAGCAATCTTGTGTGAAGAATTAAGAAGTGTCATAATGTAATACTTACGTATATGCATCCAGAAACCTATTCATAATTAAACAACAAAGGTATTTTCCTGACTAAATGAATTTCATGAAATCTCCTAGCAAGTGGTTTATTTAAATAATCCTGATTGTTAAACTGTGTTTGTACTAGCTAACGATTAAGAAAAACTAACTCGATTGGTGAATTCACAAACAATAAAACAAATTTACAGCACGTGTTCCGCGTTGAAAGATGTTTTTTGATTAAAAGCCGAAAGAATTAGCCGCGCGGTTTGGGGAAAGCTGTGTCGTCATAGAAATTATGATTGATTGTCATTAAACAAAGGCTTCCTCTCTTTTATTAACTATCAAACCACTTAATTTAAACCTAGCGACTTACAGCGTCTTTTCACCATGCATCCACTACACCGAACAGATAGATAATGAATCACGCTTTCAACATGCTGCCCTCTATCTACCAAGCCGCCCTCTAACTAAACATGCAAAACTAACCCCTAAGCGCTACGTGCATATTTGATTGCCTATGTTTAACGAATTCTTTTTTTTTGTGATTGAATTTTTTTTCCTCTTTCATATTCAAATTATTCAAATGTGATTTCGCGCCGCTGTTACTCTGTTGGCGATTTTTTTACAGACGCAATCTTGTTGCGGAGTTTTTTAATTTTAAGACTGTTCTGTAGGTGGTTAAACGCTAACCAGAATGTATTTATTCATGTGGTCATCTCAAAATTGTACTGGGTGAATCCAAATTAAATTTCATAAAATATAGTCTGTCTATACTTGTGGTTTATTAATTTGGACTTATTATTTATTTTATTAATGTCTAAATTAAAAGAAACAATTCAGAATTATACACGAAAATTTGATAATTAAAATGATTGAAATTTCTTAAAAAAAAAATCTTTATTTCTTCAACAAAATCGAGTTTGAAATTTTCAGTAGTCGAAAATTTTATATTACTGAGATTTTTCAAGTAAACTAGTGAAAAATAATATGGATATTGATCAAAAATTTTTGTCTTTGACTACTGTTTTATCTTTTCGTTTTTCGTGTAAAAATATCTCTTAATGCTTATTCTTCAATGTGCTTTAATGAGTTTGTTTTGTTCTTTTAGTTTGTAAGTAAGTTTGTTTTGTAATTTTTGTATTTCTTTAAGGACAATACTGTCTACTGGAATTTTGTTTAATAGAAACTTTTCAACTCAAAACAGGAATTTATATCTCCTTTTGAGAAATACTAGAATATAAAATAATGTATACAGTTTTTCCAGCACCACTTAAAAATTTTCAAAAAATAAAAAATCCAGCTTGATGAACATTTCGAAACAGGTTTGATGCAGTTAAAGAAAACACATTTTTAAAGAAATTTAACTTTCATCAAATTTATGTGCATACATTTAGTATATATTATTTTGTTGTATTTAGTAAAAAAATATTTTACTTTATCAGGTTCAAGTTTTTCGTTTATAAATTACACACTAAACCTATACTATCTGTAAATCCATACATATTGAGAGCTAATTTTGTATGAGTCTTCAGTTCAAACATCAAAGAAAATATTTATTTAAAGAAAATAGACATACCTATTTAAAAATATACTATTCCGTTATTTTTAAAGGTGAAAATCTGTAATTTTGGGCAAAATTAAAAAAAAAAAACTTAAAACATATTTATACATGACGGCGTGGTTTTTAAATTAACAGTTTTCTTTATGTTTATTACTTACTGTTGAAATTTATCCTAATAATTTCTTTCTCCCTAGTAAATTTGTTTAGTATACATTTAATTATCAAGTATATGTATTAGATATGTAAACCTGTAGCGATTCTTCATTATTTCAATATATGCCTTGCAAGATATATTTACCTACAAATTTCTGAATCCCACCACGTTTTCGTAAACAATTTTTTTAACCTTCGACTACCTGATGCGTGTTCTATTAAAATTCATACTATGACTAAACTAATTCGCATCGCTGTTCTTTGGAGTACCGCCTTTTAAGTGTAAAAAGTAAATTTTAGCTGCCAAGGACTAATATAATGTACTCTAGGTAAATAAAGCGAGAAACTCTTATTGTCCTATAATACAGCAAAACGATATTAACTTGATTTTAGCGGATTTTTGAATATACAAAAAAGGTAAGAACTTGATTTTATGGCTTAAAAATCTTTTCAATATATAAAATTAATTGTTACGCAACAAATATAGTGAAAATTAAAAACCAGACGAAAAAGTTAAGAGTAATCTTCTCATAATTCATACTCCAAGTCGGAAAATGTCTCGGTGCAAATTTTGAATGAATTGACGTACCATTCTTAGAGATATCTTACAATAATAGAAGAACACAAACATGTTGCAAAATTCCTGTTGCAAATTTAAAACAATTCAACAACAAACATCCAAATTGCGAAATACGTAACGTTGATGACAGTAACATTGACCCATATTATTTTTTGAAAACTTTGTTTACATGAAATGTGTGGATTCCTAGATAGTCTACTTCCGAAAAAAAATTTGTTTGCTTGACGATATAATGATAAGTTGAGATGATCTATAATCATCGCTGTTATTTTAAATAACGAAATAGCAATCTTGTTCGGGTCTTCTGGTTTTAATAAATGGCAGGCAGAAGTGGGGACAGAAGGTCAGCTTGTTGCACATGGATTCATTTCTAATCAGATTATTATAGGTTGCGGTGTTAGTGCTGTGTGGTACTCTGTGTTCTTGAAAATTTTGTTTCAAAAAGAATTTGAGTGAATGAAACATGTGTTAATTCCGACATAGATTTATATTTGTTAAGTTCCAATTTCAACGGTCAACTCAAGGTAAAAAATACGAGATTCTCTGTTAATTTGAAACGTATACATATTCACTAAATGTTGAGAGTTTAATTAGTATATTTACCAAAAAGAAATACGCTTCCCATATATTTTCTGCATGGCATTGTTCTTGAAATTTGTTTAATATGTTTTAATGGCAAGGTAGATGTAGTCATTTCCCCTTGAACGTTATCACTAGCAATGAATGTAAATAATTTCAATAAATTCTTTAGAACAAATATGCCACAGTTAGGATGAGAATACATAATTTTGCGACCATGCCACTGGGGACTTTACATTTTAATCTCTCCTTGCAAAACGTACTCGTACGTACGAGAGGAATCCCATTGACCCAAACTGACCTATTCCGATTCTTAAAATTTACGAGCACTAGGAATCACTCTCCGTGTGGGAGATAAAAAAGAGACAGAGATTCTAAGAAACATACATTCAATCGTAAGAATAAGTCAGTAATTACTGCAGTGAACAACACTTTGGGGTATAATCAATTTTATGTAACTGGTTTTTAGTCTTTAACTGAAATATTGGACTCAAACATTTTTAACTTCTGATTACGGATTTTATTATATTAAACCAGTTACATAACTGAATCACCGGTAAAAAAATGTTAAAAAAAGTTCTCTCATTATTGTTAATTTATTTATTGTTGGATCGTATTTCTAAGAAAGACGCATATGCTTCTTTGAAATGTAAAGAAGATTGTTTAAATAAATCATTATTACTTTTAATTCTAACAACTGGCAATAAATTGTCTCTTTATTTTGACCCTCGTCTCATAACTAGAGAGAAGTTTTATAACAGGATCAGTTTAAAGAATGACTAATGTCTAACTTCTCATTTTCTTAGTGTGTTTTTAAATAGGTTTCTCGTTTCTGTTTGCCTGTAGCTTATTCGTTGGAAATTATTATGAAATTTTAAATATACATTCGGATTATCAGTAAAACGTTTAAACACTAAGCAAACTTTATCTTGTCATCATTTTCAAAGAACTGATGATTGACAGTAAAATTTTATTAAGTAAGTCTCATTTAAAATAAGCAGCTTAACATGCTTTTTTAGTTACATGTGGTTCCACCATTTTTCCCACCAATCATCAAGATACGTGGGAACAGATCTTCACTCTTGATAAGACATTTTTAACCATATTATTGTGCTGCTGTTTTTGTTCATAGTAGCAACTACAGTTTTTGCAGAATAATTTACTTAGTTTTGGTATTTCTGCCCAAAATTTTTCTTTCATTGGAAAGTTTAATCTCGGAGTAAAAAAATATTCATTTTTTGAAGTTGGAACAAGACGAACAATACTGTATCAAATATAATTCGTGGCTCTGAAACAATATAATATTATTAATGTAACAGCTAGCGATAAATTTCCTTTACATGTTTCAATAGGTTCATGAAAATCAGTGGATGTAGTCTTACATCCTAATTAAGAATGCCCATTCTGGTAACTGATATTAACCGGAGTAAAAAACATACAATTTTGACCCAAATCTTTGAATTTTATGTTACCACAATTGAATATTTGTAACAATGTAAAAATCTTAAAATTACTAACTAGCAAAACTTTGATTGTGTGTTTTTGAATATTAAAAAATTATAGAAACGTTTTGAGACATGGATAAGTAAATTAGTGAAAGACTCACCCGTGTAAAAAAATATGTTGATAACAAAATTTCCTCTTGGAGAGAACAAAAAATTGATGGGAGTGTTCTGTTTTTCCAGAAGAAAACAATTATATATTCAAGAAGATTTTTTTTTCTCATATCAATAATATCAATTCAAAATAAAAACATTGAAATGTATGCTAATAATAAAGATAAACTTCATTTGAAAGTGTAATGTGTCTTACCAATATTTACTAATAGAAATAAAACGATTTTAAATTATAAACCTTTACAAAAAATAAATTTTTCTTTAACTAAATATTCCTGTATGTTATATGCACCTTTTTTATTTTGGGAGTGATAGTTTCTTATTTGAACATTTTTGTTATGAAATAATTTTTAATTTATCAAAATTTTTTTGTTGCATATGAAATAAATGACTTATATGTTATTATTAGACAGCGGATTTCTGTCGGGCTACGTCACGATTATAGGTGGGAACGCGCTGCATCGCCGGGACTCAGTAGCGGGTGAAAGGTAATCACTGAATTTAATTGTCACTTGATTCCATAAATACAATTAACGATTTATTAATCAAACGGTTAAGTAAATGAGAACTGGAATTAACAGCAGAGTGCAACGAAGCAGCGTTATTCTAATCTCAAATAAACGAAGTGCAGTCCGCAACAGCAATGAATTCCCATCCCGTACGAGCCGTACCGAGTTTGGCCTTGTCTAGCCCGACAGAAATCCGCTCCCTAGTTATTATTATGGAGGATCAGGGACAAAATTAAATCATAAAGACGGTCGTAATGAGAGCAAGAAAGACCAGTCCGCTTCTTTGGATATGATTACTGAGTATTCCACAGTCGGACAGTCGGACTCTGTAAACAATAGTTTTGTAATCCATTTTATTGATTCAGGTTGTAATTTTGTTACATTTTTGTCAAAGTGTGAGGATTTCCGTTTGTGTTTTTTATACGTAGCACATCAAATTTTAATTTATAGGATTATAGTCCGTGTTTTACTTATTAATCATATAGGGGAAGGGGGGGCAAAAGCGGGTATAATTCAGGTTGGACGTTAAATAAAATTAAGAATTTTATATACAGAGAAAACTTTTTTACGTTTACTTAACATTGAAATATTGATTTACTTAATTAACGATTAAAAAAAGAAGTCAAATCTGGAGGTATTGGTTTTGTACGATTTCTTTATTTTTATTTATTTTTTTCCACTATCTTTTCTCTTTTTAGTATGTTTTTTTTCTAAATAGTTAATGTCACGCGCTTAATTTAAAAAACAGGTTAACAGATGAATAATTTTTCAGTATTGTGTCAAAAACATAGTTTCTATCACAAACAGATAAAAAACAGTACACATTATTTAAACTACATACGTAATTATAAAACTATGGTAACTTAAAAAGTGAGTTTGTAAAGTGTACCTAATTATCTGGGTACTTTACATTTTTAAATCAACAACGATAATCATCATGTTTTTAATAACAATGTATAGCGAACGCTGCAAAAATAAAAGATTGTCGAAGAAAAATTTGATGACGCAATGTTTAATAATAACTATTATATGAATTGTATTCCTACTGACTTATACCCAATAATTTATCTCACTCCTAATATGTACAAAATATTTAACACAGAAATTTACTTTTTTCATGAGACCATATAAAAGCAACGATACATTAAAATCATACCACAATGCAAAATTATATTTATTTATTACAAAATTACTTCCTCACTATTGCTACATCCGCTACATGTCAGCACGTTGGAAATTACTCTTAATCTAGGAAGTTCCGTTATTTACAATAATTTAGTTACTACATCATGAAAAATATTTTTGCCTGTACACGTTATACTTATGACTGAATATTTTTTTACAGATGTGGTACAAGAAAATTATTATTATTTCAACACTTATCCCGCTGTTCAACAGTCAATTGTATTTCCCAGACGAACAAACAGGTGGTTTTAAGCAAATGCAAAATGGTCGAGAATTCGCAGCGGCATCACCGGTTTCACCATCATTTATAAACAATTTAACAGAACTCCGAGGCACCTCAGTCTATGAACAATACGTAGATAAAATTATAGCATCAGGAGTACTTAAACTAACTCTGGATGTACAGAAGGCACTTATTGCATCATCACCAATCGACTACAATAACATTGTTTACTCTCCAGTAAATATAGCTGGTATGTGTCCATAACAAAATACATATAAGCAACTTTTAAACGTTTTCATTTTAGGTGCGTTAGCTTTAGTTTTGTTAGGATCAAACGGCAAAACCTTTGAAGAAGTTTCAACTATAATGGGTTTAGCAACAGGAGTTGACATTCAAAGCAAATCTCAAATAGTTCATGAACAATTTGGCAGAATGCTAGAAAAGCTGCAAACAACGTCCGGCTTTGACATTGGTCGTCAAGTCAATTTTGCAACAGCAATTTTTGTGCAAAACAACTATCCGATTAGACAAATCTATAAACACACAGCCGAAGCAGTGTATGACAGCGAGGTCTTAAATGTCGATTTTGCCAGCAATCCAGGAGCTGCACAACAAATAATAAATGCATGGGTGTCCGAAAGAACGAAAGGAAAAATCAACGATATTTTAGGTGAACTTCCATCTGGGGATACGAAAGTGATTTTAGCGAGTGCCATGTACTTCAAAGCGGAGTGGGAAAAACCATTCTTCGACGGTACCACGAAAAGGTAAAGACATGGTTTGAACAAAAAAATCACCAAAACGGTAAAACAAAAGTCGCACTATTAGTAAAGCGCTCCTAAATCCCATTGTTCCGTATGTACCAGTAACTAACACCGTCTAACTTCATAATTCTTTTCTTTGTTGTTTGATACACACTAATATGTCTACATAAACTTAGAACTAATACTTAGCAGAAAATACTTCCCGTTTTCATATGTCTGCTACAATGTCTTTAAAATTTCAGGAAACCGTTCTACACCAATGGTAGACACGTGAAAAGTGACGTTATGGTGGAAATGATGTCAAACGGTGGCCTCTTTCCGTACTACAAAGACAGGAAACTAAACTGTGAAATTGTTGGTTTTCCATACAAAGGTAACCAAACCACCATGTACGTTGTGATACCCAACAATTCAAACAAGGAAAAACTAAAAGAATTAGAAGCCACGCTAACCACTCCAGAAATAGATCGCCTAGTTAGCAATGTCAAATACACAGGAGCCATAATTATATTTCCCAAAATGAGAATCGACACCACTATCGACTTGAAGAAAACCCTTCAAATGTTAGGAATGAAATCCCTCTTCGACCCATCTCAGTCAAATTTAGCACTACTTTCTCCCGGAATTGGAGCTCCTGTTGAAAATCCGGTTATCGGTGACTCATATCAGAATCCCATCTCAGTTGGTAACACCGGAAACGATGTCATAATTTTCAGCAGGTCGGGGGCGCCTGTCAACTGTACACAGATTTTTGATCCAACCAGCAATGTTAACACTTGTGAAGAAGTAGTAAATGGAACGAACACACCACAAACCGTGACGTACAAGAAGTTCGGTAACAAAGTAGGGCGAAGGATCGAAAGAAAAATTACGCCAAGAATTGCAGAAACTTTAGATAACATTCGGCAGTATTTGAATCGGCAAAATGATGCTGAAAAGTTCGAAAACCCGGGACTGTATGCAGATAATGTCATTCATAAAGTTTATATGGATATTACGGAATCGGGGACCGAGGCGGCTGCAGCAACCTCCGTTAGCTTGTCAAGGGATGGAGGCCGAGTTACAGTTAGAGCTGATGTTCCTTTCTTTTTCTTTATTATGCATGAAGAAACTAAAACTCTGTTGTTTTGGGGATCTGTAAATACACCAACTCCTAATTTTAAATGATTCGCGTTTCCAGAGTGATTGGTGCAGCAGATGCAATACTTATAACTTTATTTTTCCATCGGTTATTTCAAAATTTCTACCCATACTTAAACAAGCAAAAATAATAAATATTGGAATGTCAAATATTTAAACACTTACCATTACTTTTGCAGAATTTTATGAAGATCGAACTTAAAAATTATTTAAAGTGTCTGTGAAGGTAATATGAGAGGATAAATGGCTACAGCCGTTGTTCAAAACGCTTAGTAAATAATAAAAAAATGTAATTATATTTTTTATAGGATAAAAGTGTACAGTAGTTACGAAAGAACAAATAATTCATTTTAGACAGCAGTGAATAAACATTGTTTTCATTTTGTTAAAAACTGGCTCTACTTCCAGCATATAACCATGTTGTCTAAGGCACTCCAGTCTTATTTGACAACTATCAATAGGAAGACAACCATGGTTCCTTACGATTTCGTTTCTTTGCTATTGTCGGAGCTTTAATACATGCAAAAATATTTAAATAATCCGATTAATAAGGTGTCTAACTTTCATAATACCCTTCTCTACACTATTAATATTGTAATAAAACAAGTAACCAGTGGACAACATTAAAAAAGGTAACAGTTTCAATAATTTCATAGTTAAAATATAACGTAAGTATACTCGTACTTGCTCCACTAACGCATCTTTTTTCCAAATACCTTATCTTAGCAGGTCGTTTTTTAGAACAGTTAAGTATTTCGAGAGATACAGATTGACATTTCGAATCGAACGTACCTAACAATTTTTAAACGTTCAAGTCTTAGTTATGTATTTAAATATCAAAAAATCAACTTCAGAATTACACACTTTTAGCTAGTAACGATTTCCTAGCTGCACTAGTCACAATGCTTGTATATTATAAATAGTTATAGTAGCATTTTTACATGACATTGAGTAATAGTGAAATAGTTACACATGTGCACACAATTGTGATAAACTTCTTTTCTTTTTTACCGATTATATATTTACCTATTTATTTTGTTGATGTGTAAGAAATAAAAAGTTTTTTTAATAACAAGTGAGAATTTTTTGATGCTGAGGAACACAAAATAAAATTAACAAAGATTCGCCAATTTCTTAATGTAAACATTACGTTATTTTTTTTGGAATGAGTAATCAAATCCATCGGGAGACTGGTTAGTTTCATTTTTCTCGATGCGTCATGACTCCTAGAGTACGAAAAAATGGGTCGCCCGTTTCCGTCTGTCGTCTGTCTGTCGGTCGGTCTGTCTGTTCGCCGTCCGTGACGATTTTTGTTAGACAGATATTCTCCGAAACTACTGAACCGATCCGATTGTTGTTAAATTTTTAATGTGTATTATGAATATCATGTAGGTAGTAAAACGCTAACCAAACATTAGGTATCTAATCATCCCCACCAAAGATGTGATGACGTCGCCCCAAATTGTACATAGTAAATTGTATAAAATAACATAGTCTTACACGTGTAGTTTATGAATGCGTGAGTGTTGAGTTTTTAGCCGAGATACCCAAATTTTTAAAAAAACAAATCAGAGTTATATAAGTACATTTTGCAAATTAATTTTGAATCTGGCAAATGTTTTAAAATTATTATAAGCATAGTAAATTTTTAATCAAAATATATTTGTTTATCCATGTGAGAAAACGCACGTCCTTACTTAATAATGTTTAAATAAGAATTATAATGATAATATGTAATCAGAACATTTTGTTCGATTGTGGCTTAATTAATAATTTTGACCCTCTGTTTTAAGGAAACAAACTTATTCAAACCAAAATAATTTCTACCTGACATTCTTCCGATGTATAAACATAAACACTTCACGTTTTCAGCACTTATTGCTGAAAAACCATTTTCACTTATTGACCGTAAGCTAAGGAAGCAGTGGCGGCTCATCAGGGGAGGCAGGGGAGGCAGTGCCTCCCCTGGAAAAATTGACTATTAGTTTTTGTTTTAATATCTGTCAACTTCAAATATATTTTAAAGATATAGCAAATAACTTTTATAGAAACTGTGATTTATTAAATCGCGCCTTGATAACATATTTTGAAGTACGCGCTTTCGACAGGAATAAGCGCCGATCATCACCGTGTAGGCCAGCTTCAGACGGAGGCATGCCTCAGATAGACGTATATCTTCGGCACGATTAGTCAGTGGTGCTAATATGTTTTTGAAAAAGACAATAGTCAGCAGTGCTTTACCAAAGCGCCAGCGGAGGCACCAACGCCTACCGTCCTTAAACCAATCAGATCGAATTTTTTAATCTCACAGTGCACAATGCTGAACAGGGATGCTGAATGCATTTAGTGTCATAGAATACCCTCCCTGATTTAGTGTGCATTTAGTTGAGCAGTAAATTAGACGCGAGAAAAGGTGTTCACTGCATGTGCATTGTCAAGGTTATGTATTAAAACTTTTAAGCTAACTTGAAAACATTAGGACAATGAAAATGTCAGGTTTGCAATGCTGATAGGAACATAACAATCTCTAATTCTCTAACGACATTGTAGAATTTCTTATAAAGTTTAAATATTTAAGCACGGTTTTCTTACGACGAACAATTGTATGTCCAAGATTTAGCAACCTCTCATCCCAGATTTGAGCAGAACTTTATTAATTAATTGATTAATATATTTAAATCAGCCCTAGATCATATGAATTAATATTTAATGTTAATAAAGCAACTTTTGTAGTCTTTACACCTTCTCATTGATTTGTGTGAAGCAATTAAATGTTTTTTATTCGAGAAATGTACCTATTCCTATCGAGATATGTTACTGACTCAGAGTTATTTGTATTGTTTTCATAAGAAGGGATAAATAATCTGTCTTTTAACAAAAGTAATTGCGAACATGTTAATTAATACCTGCTGATTTTGAAACGAAAAAGTTGCCTCCCCTAACCAAAAGACCACGAGCCGCTACTGTAAGGAAGTATAGTAATCGAATCTCTCAGGCGACTTGATCCGTTCATATTTTCTCGACGTTTCACAGAATCGTAGCTAGAAAAATGTTTGCCTCCCTTACTCCCTTATAATTAACCAAATGGAGTTGCAGCATCGAAAATCAAAATAAAATGCAATGTTTTATTTAATATGCGAAAGTTATTGCAATTTATAGAAAATATCGTTTAGTTTTGTTTCTCTGTTACACTCTCACGTATACGATATCGACAAGCGTTATCACTATTTGTCTTAAATTACGAGTACTTACAAATGCTTTTAAGTTGTTTCGTTATTTTATTTATTGTTTCAATCAAGATTCAAGAACGACTCACTCCATTTTTCTAGTATTATTATTAATATTATATTATACACTGCATCTGTCCAAACTGATATGTGTCCTTGCAAAAATGTTGATGACGTCATCACAAAATTTTGTAATGGAAAAACTCACTTGAAACAAACACGTAACACGCCTCTTTACCTTTACTTGAACATTATACGTATACTTATTTTTAACTGATAAGTTGTTAAGGGTTATCGTAAAAAAATAAAATTCGCGAAATCAATAATTCTTATAATATTTCGAAACAGCTGGATTTGCTGTACTATACTTTATGAAAGAGGGAAATTCTGTCGAAATAATCTTCGACCAATTTTTAAAGAAGAAATTTATTGGGCTATATTTCAGGGCGAAGGAAAGTTCTGTCTTGATAACCTCATTTTAGATCATTTTTTTAGAATGATTTATACAGGTGATTAAAAAAAATTAATAACTAAGTCAAATTATTTTATTGATCAAATCAAGAACAGCTTACCCCATTTCTCCGAAAATTTAGGAGTACAGTACTGATGTTAATATGTAATGGAAAATTAACTTGAAACATACGCATCGTATGCCTGTTTACATTTACTACAGTTGCACCTAAAAAGGTGAAAAAATAGCCGCTATTGTTAGATTCATTTTGAACAATGCAGGATTTGTTAGACTTGTACTTTAGGCGCGAGTGAAGTTCTGTCGAAATAAACTTCTACCACTTTTTTTGTAATATTATAAAATAAAGAAAACTATGGTTAAATCATAATATTTTCAAAATTATTTTGAATAATGAAAGTTCGATTGATTTAATGTACCCAACACTAATTAGTAGTGAACTAAAAAATTAAATACTACTCTACTAAAAGAAAAATTAAAATTTGAAGGGCTACATCCAGCTTCTACATCTGGATTCTGGACCCAAGGATTTTTTAAATTATTTTTTCTATGCCCAATAAACAGTCCTTAACAACGTGTCCTAGAGTTAAATGCGCCATTTTTGAATCACTGTGTATTGTATACCGAGTGTCTAATTAAAAACCTGGTCAAGAGGGCTGCCTCCTATTTTATTTTATTTTCCGCATAACGTAGTATTTGCCATTCTGTTCGAGACAGTTGTCATTTCATGTCAAACTAAGTTTAAAACATATTTACAAAAAAAAATTAATTCGCAACAGTCGATATATGACAAGCAGATGAATACGAAAAAGAAAAACAAAAACTGGTGACATAACCCTCTTGACCAGATTTCATTTAGACACTCGATATTACACACCGCGTGTTTAATAATTAATATTGAAGACACAGTTAAATGGAAAAAATTTAATGAAAGCAGTAAATACATTCTGCGTTCCACTGCTAACATATTCTTTTGGAGTCATTAAATGGTCCAAAACTGATCTTGAAAATTTAAACATCGCAACAAGGAAAATCTTCACACAGTATAGAAGGCATCACCCAAAATCGTCGATTGAAAGATTCTCATTACCAAGACAGAATGGAGGAAGGGGTTTCCAGAACTTAGAAAACTTATATCAGAGACAAATCTCAGATTTGAAGAAGTATTTCTTGAAACGAGCGGAAAGAAATGAAATGTTTCGCACCATCACAAGAGCAGATTTGAATCACACACCCTTAAATCTGTCGAACACCGAAGAAATCCACACCCCCCACACAATAGATAAAATAATAAGTGGGCTAAAACAAAAACAACTACATGGAAAATTCTACAAAGACTTAGAAGAAAATCATGTCAATAAGAAGATGTCATTGATTTGGTTAAAAAAATCAAGTTTGTATGCCGAAACAGAAGGATTTGTGTTTGCTATTCAAGACCAAGTAATCAATACCAAGAATTATAGAAAATACATCATCAAAGATCCGAACATAAAAAACGACTGCTGTCGCCTATGCAAAGCAAAACCTGAAACGATCCAGCACATAATCTCTTCTTGCAGCATCCTAGCACAAACTGATTACAAAGCTAGACACGACAACGCAGCCAAAATCATTCACAAAGAATTAGCAACACTTATGAACTTGTGGAAATGACTAACACCAGGTAGGGTTTCTCTATAGTTTATTTACAAACGGATATCTTACACGTGGAACAGGAGACGGTACCCATCTTCTTCGTTTCGATGTCGGCGGCAGAAGAGAGTACTTGCCGTACTCGCGCCTCCTTGTGTCCCCAGTTGGTCTCTGCGTCGGCGCCAGGCTAACCAATCACGAGTGGTGTTCGGTGAGCATATTGAGTTGCCTACTCGTAGGCGAGAGGAAGTAGTACGTGTGCGTTGTGTTGCCTACATTAACATCACAGCAACGCCACATACCCCCCCCCAAGTAACGGGTGACAGCTGTCAAAACGGCTGTCAGTTGTCATTCTCTGAAACGTGCGGGGAGCGTTGACCTGCGGCCTGACCTGGTGGTTTGAGTAACTTCCTGTGTTCGTACTGGGGATGGAGCCGGTGGTGGTTCTGGTTCTTGGAGAATAAAAGCGGGTTTTACTCTGTCGATATTCACTGTTGTTTCCCTACCGCCTACATTGACCTTTATTGTCTTAGCAGTACGAGACAGAACAAGGTGTGGACCGGTGTAGGGCTGTTGGAGCGGTCTTCGCACGGTGTCGTCTCTTAGGAAAACATGGCTACATTTACTGAGCTCTGTGTGGACGAAGGTGCTTTGCCTAATGTGGTGCGACGCTGGAGTTGGGCGAAGTTTCCTCATGTGGTCCCGTAGTTTTTCTACAAAGGTAGTGGGTTCTACGGATCTGTCGAT